GCACACCGTACCGTTGGATGCATTGATTCCTGAATTTCAGATGAAAAATGAAATCGACAGCATTCGCTTAGGGAATATTTCAAGAACGGTACAACACAAACTGAATGTTGTAAGCTGAAGCACAGTTGACGGCTAACAACTTTTATTGTTTACTTTTTATAATATCTCTTGATGGTAGGAAAATAAAGAGAAGCTGTCGGGAATTGCGTGACACAACGTTCCAACACACGTATAGGATTGTAATTGCGAGGTCTTTCTCCTCTACGTGTTATTTGACATATCATGTCCTGTTTTTCACATCGTACATCCGACATTGCACTGAGCTGCTTCATACCAAAAAATGACCAGTTGAATTTCAAATCGATCAGACTTACCCACCGCACACTTCGCCATCTCACGCTTGACAAATATTTAGCTGCTACTGCAGATAAAACACATTCCTCGCAGCTTTATATTTGAAAATTGTGTGGGTACGTTTCCGACATGAAGCTTATCTTACCTTATTTTTCCGTTCAAATTATATGGCTCCTTTCTCCATCTTTCGGTTTCTACGTGGATTCGGTCCTTAATTTTAGATAGAGACATTTTCATTTTCTTCAAGTCCTGACAAATTCACTCTCAACTGTTCGTTGCAGCTTACCAAACTCACTTAATTTGCCGATTAATTTTACATTCTAACTTAAATGCAAATATTTAACATTGAGCGGTACATTTTATTGTTTGACATATTGTAACGTATGTAACGACATAATTCATTTGCAGATTAATTTGTTGCATTTGATTGTTTATTTCATTTACACAGCCAAAAAATTAATGGCAGCACGCCGACGTGGTGTTGGAGTAGGTGTGGTACAGCAAAAGAAAGATCTCCAGGTTCTTATCTCGTTTATTTGATCATTATAGCTTGCATTGTTAATTGCTAAATCACTGAGCCTTATTTAATAGTTGAACAATCTTACTATCAAAAGAATACCGACATTTTCAGGCAAAATTCCAAGCGAAAGGTAGTGAACTAGCCAGCGAGCAGTTAAATAAATTTTCTCAGGAACTTGCTATTTTCCAAACAAAATTAGAGGAATTTGCTCACAAACACCGCGATGAAATTCGTCGAAATTCCCAGTTTCGGCGACACTTCCAGGATATGTGTGCATCGGTTGGCGTTGATCCACTTGCTTGTAAGTTGATTATCATTGTCTAGAACAAATTAGAGGAATGGAAGAATTCGTGTTAAGATGTTGTATTTGCATTGTAATTTTATTCATTGTATTTTAAAAGAAAATAAAAAAATAAAAATTGAAACTCATTTTTCGATTCTATACTTTGTGGCGTTTTTTTTTTGTTCAAATTTTTATCAATGTCGTTTACCATGGTTTGGTGTGGTAATGTTTGAGGCGCTGCAAAGCTTTATTTAACATTTTGACAGATGTTTCAGAGACATTAGAATGTATTCTATTTGTGGTGATGGGGGCTCGACACATAGACGATCTCGTGAACTTGGGCAATTCAAGTTCCCAGAGTGGATAAAGCATAAAAATTAGCTCGAAAGCGGAATTTGTGATTCATTTTCGTTTTCTGCACATTATGGTGTAGAAACGAAAATGAATGTCAAAGTTTTAAGTTAAAATAAATAATTTTGCTATCTCCTCTCAGGAAAAATCGTTAAAATAGTCTTTTTTCAGCCAGTAAAGGTTTTTGGGCTGAGAAGCTTGGTGTCGGTGATTTTTATTATGAATTGGCCGTTCAGATTGTTGAAGTTTGTATGGCAACTAATCACATGAATGGTGGCGTTATGACGATAGAGGAACTGAGAAATCGGCTGTTACGTTCACGAGCACGAACACGACGTGAAGCTATTACCACGTATGAGTTTTCTTACGGTTTTGGAGTCCATGGTTGAAAATTATAAAATACTGGGACTGCGACAAAAAATACTGGGAGAGAAATCGGTAGTAGAACTTTGAGTTTTGGGTATTCAACTTATTAGGTATTTGGTCAAATAAACTTGAGTTCATTCAGTGCACCAAGTAAATTTTTCATCTTTTTCGAGACAAACCATGTATAGTTTTGCTTGAACTGCATTTTCAAATTTAGAGACGACATTTTGCGTGCTGTTGACAAATTGAAAGTACTTGGTAATGGTTTTGAACTAGTTGCGTTGGGAAGTGGACGATTTTTAGTGCAAAGTGTGCCTGGTGAGCTTAACATGGATGACTCACGGGTTTTGCAACTGGCTGAAGATGCTGCATATGTAACCAAGGTGAATTCTAATCAAAATTATTTTATTTGATCTGAAATTTGTTCGCTAGTGATTTATATTTTCGTGCAACTAATGTATATTTCTATACATAGAAGTGAAACACATTTTTATGAATGCAATATTTATTTTCTGAGTTCAGTTTTATTTTTGGCAGCTCAGTGAGTCTAATTTTTTTACAAATCACTTGAAGGTGGAGATTTTAGTTTGAAATTTTTAAAATACAATTATTTCTAGGAACTCATTATGGATCGTTTGCGCTGGGATGAACGACGTACCGACGTAGTGCTGGAGCATTTAGTGAAAGAAGGTATTGCTTGGATTGATAATCAGTCAACAGACACTGTACAGTACTGGATTCCAAGTCTTTTTCTAAATCAGCATAGCCATTCGAGCAGTTCAACCAGTATATCTGGCAGTGTTGCATCAACTCTTTACTGACGAAATCTTAATTGCAGAAAATAAAAAAAAACCGAGAACATATTCAGCTTAATTAGAGATACCTGCTTTATGGAGCTATCTTAAATGAACATCTTGTTACACACTGACAAATTTTTTAAGGAAACTGCCACTATAGTTCTTAAAGAGCGTGTAATTATTGACTTTTCTAAAATTCACTGAAATCATTGAAATTTATGAAGACTTTAAAAGTTTGACAAAATTTTTTCTGATCACCTAGATTTAAGCAAGTTAGTCGTTCGCAAATCAGGTAATCGTTGAACAGTTCTTGTTAATGGAACCGTGGTTATCACTTTTTCATTGTGTTAGCATGTTCTTTTTACTTAATTATTGAATTTGTGATCTTGCTGTGATTTCTTTGCCATATTAGAGTATGAAATATTGTACTATTGACGTGAAATTGTTTTTATGTCCTTGTTCTGTGATATGTGATAATAGCAGTGGTGCATTTTTATTTCCATAAAATTTCTGATTTTAGTGGTGCACGCAGTGCACTTAGAGTGATACCAAAGATATCCAGCGACAAATTTTTCTACTTTCTCAGGTGATAATAGAGCATAAAAAATATCGCTGAAAAATGAATCATAATTTTCTACTATATTCATTAGTTAATGCTAATATCGTTGGTATGCAGTTTATTTATTTGAGCACTCGCTGTTAAAGATCTCGTATCAGTTAATTTGAACAGGATCTGATTTTGTTGAAAATGTCCCACATCCTGAGCTTGGAACTTTTCCATAATAGTCAGAAATGTGAGCACTGACAACAGTTTGCAGTGATGAGACATACAAGAAAAGACTAAAAGTAGAATTGAAGATATTAACGCTATTTTAGTAACCATTTAAAGCATTTGTATAAATTCCCTTTGTTGGTAGTAACACCAAAAAGAAGCAATGGAATGTTGGTTAGAGTTCAAGAGTTGATTAAATAATACATATCTTCGAGGCATTAATAATCGTATCTGGTGTGAGTATCGGCCTCACTTTGTTCATAGTTTGGCTTAATTTTCATATTGCTTTTGACTTAAACTTAGCATTAGAAGGAGCAGTTGCGCGAAGCGGTACGATAAAAGTAGTATCAGGTCAAAAGTAAAAGTTCGGGTAGTTGATTAAAGCATCATATAATTAAGCTCCTCGCCAGATAACCGAACTCTTATTTTCTTTCCTTTTCGGTAATTCCTTTTTTTGTTGTTCTAATACTATTTATTGCACAAATGCAATTGCCATTATTAGTTATCTTAACAAAAATGAAAAAATTTTTATTATACTGCAAAATTTCAATACGCTAAAGCAGAAATAATCAAAGAAATATAAGAATTAAAGTCTAAAACAATCGAAACTATTTCAATATAACAATTGCAATAGTATCATCACAAAAGTTGAAGTAGAAAATATGTTATAACATATCTTCTGTTTATGAGAACTTTTGAATGAGAAACAATTAACTTTGTTGATCGATATATAATCGATTTGGATGATACAATGATTGATGATGCTTTATCAAATTTGCCAATAATTGTTTGAGTTCTCTCTTCTGCAATTTGATTAAATCATATTGCAGAAGATAGTAATGAATATTCATTATTTGAAGAATATTTGCTCCTAATCAGTTTACTGTGCTTTTCCGACAAAGAATTAATCGAAAGGTTACGGTTTAGTAGTTCTATCTCTTCCTCCCTCTTCCACTGTTTTTCTTTCTCTCACTCCCTCTTTCCAATAAAAGGTCATTTTGAAGATGCCGATGAATGTGTTATCGTTATTGGATGTGTTACCTTTATGTCATTCTTAGCTTAATCTCTCTTTTTCAAGTTGCTGTAATATCTAACTTATTATTCATTCATAGCAATTTAAGAAATCTCAACTTACAGTGAATATTAGCATAACTACTGTACTAAAATTAATCTTTATAAATTAAAAAGATCATCCGCCTGAAAGATTTGGCCTGTTTTTCTTCACATTAAATATGTCTTTCTCTTACTACACATATACAGTACAACTTTTCAGTACTTAAGCATTATATCGTATCATTCGAATATTATGAACGAGAGAGAGAGAGGAGATAAAATATTTCAAATTTTTTCAGCATTTTCTTTCCATTCACTATCCACTGGAAATCGAAGTACCGTATTCATTACAGTATTCTTTACATTAGATAGATTGATCACACAAATGATCCATCAATTACACGAATTATACCAACAATAGTAAGCCCGTAAATTCCGAATAATAATGAATGATTTTCTCGAGAATTATTATTTCAGTTATATATCAAGAAATTCGAGAAATATTTAAATATAACGAGGATTATGTGTTACAAAGGATGAATAAGGTACTGGGAAATGATGCCACAGAGTACTATAATTCCACATACTCGGTAGATTCAATGTAGGAAAATTTGAAGAATTTAAGAAATTCCGTTGTTCTAATGCAATTGATGGTTTTTGCAGATTTGAAATACTTGCAGAAAGAGTATTTTCGGAATCGCTAAGAGTGTTAATAGAGGAATTAGAATTAGTTAAAGAGTTTTGATGATTAGCAGATAAGACATATCCAGAAGTGTTGAGGTTCGATGAACATGGCGCAATGGGATAAGTTGCTATCGCTGAAGGATTGCAATTTGATGATAGCAGATGAATTGGATGTGAAACATTTCTTTTATCATTTGGAAAATAAGGTGATCTATTTGTCCAGTATGGTTTATACTTATTCAAAGGACTGGCTGGTAAGTGCAACGTGCGGTCATCTGCTAATGGAACAGTAGCATCATTGCTATCTGTAATCAAATAATACTAAGAAATATTGATTTATGAGATTCTAAAGTTGTTGTAAGTTCATAAATAAATTTGTTTTTCAGATATTCTATTGAAAGCGAGTATTTGAATTTCTAATTTTTATACAATTAAGTAATATCTGACTCAATTCACATTAAATAAAACTATTATTGAATCTTCTGAAAGTTAGAATCAAACAAACCGGTAGTTAAATTATTATTGCTTCTAGTGGTACCACCACGTTGTCCACGAGCATAACTGTTGTGTATCTTTTTCATTTCTATGATCCGCTGATTTTGATACGCTGTAACAGCTATGAATTCCATAATTTGATCGGTAAAACTCTTCACCAACTGGTATTGATTGGTTAATATGGTAGAACCATCGAGACATAATGCTGGTGTTGCATAAACTTTGTGAATATACAGAATAGGATGATATTTATGCATGGAAGTGAGAAGTACCTGTAAAAAAAATACATCAAACCACATCAAATTTATGTCACGTACATCCTTTCCCTTCCCTACATTTTCATTTATGAAATAGTCGTAAGAGATGAGATGATTTACTTATAGTTATTAAAGAAACAGTAACTTGGATATGAAATGTTTAGAAATCAATATTAACAAGTTAAATTCACAACAAAGTGATTTCTAAGACCGCCAAAATGCTAGACTTTAATATCTCCTTTTTAATGAAACCTTGAAATATTCCAGTGATATTTCCTGAGAAAATAATTTAGGCGAAAAAAAATGAGTTAGATGAGGTGAAAAGTAGAGGGAGAGAGATATGTATCAGTTAGATATCCTCACCTAGTTATATCTTTGTTAAGATCTCTCTGAGGCGCCATTGTTGATTTTTATCAGTGACTCTAATACTCATGAAGATATACATGCATATGCATACAAAGCTATCCATTATATGTCATTTAATAAACACTTTACAACATATACATCTGTTCAAATTGCTAATATTTGATGGATTTATTTGCAAAATGACATGGATAAGGTGGGAATGGATAAGGTGAAAGTTGACAGTTAAAATATTTATCGTTTCACACGCAGATGTTTATATAAATGTCTTAAAAATTGATTTACATATATATCTATATATGCAGTTTTAGGACTTCTCACGATTAAACCATCAAACAACATATTTTCCCTCCTCATCTATTATCTATTCTACTTAGTGAAAAAGGTAAACTGTAAATAAGGAACAATAAAAATAAATTATTTAATGATAAATAAGAGAATATTGATATTAACAAAATTAAGCTAACATTTGTGGAACAATCTTTAGTACTGTTCGTAATTTTGAGTTTACCAAAACGGATACCATTATTCATCCAGTATTGTCCAAGTTGTGTTGATCCATTATCTGGATAAATATATTTTGCTTCACTTTCAGGATCTCCTGTAGCTGTCACATGCCATTCACCAGCTGTATACTTGTATCTTAATTAATGGGTCAATTAAATCTTACTGAAAAAAACTTTTTGTTTACTTCAGAAAAAAATTCAATTGTTTTATAAATAAAATCTTTTCTCAAAATTAAAAAAAAATAACTAAATTTTTGATAAATGACATACTTAATTGCAATTAATCATAGGTTAATTTATTTACTTTATGCTTATTAACGTAATGGTTATTAAACAATAATTAACCTGGCACGATCAGTTCGACATATTTTAAGACATATGAAATACATTGTTTTCGGTTCCAGACCTTCCACAGAATATCCAATTCGAGGATAGATACATCTGGAGATGATTAAATAGACAACAGATAATATCTTATAGTTATTAAAATCTATGACTTAATCTCGATCCGAGAATCATTTTGAAATGTTTAATCTTGCTAGAATAATTTTATTATAAGACAAAATCATCGATCAATCTATTTTTCTCGTTAATTTCCATATATTTGTTAGATTTCTATCAAAAAAGATACTATACCACCTTCCTTTGCTTGTCAAGATCATTTCATTATTGTTACGATGAAATTCTTCCCATAATTTTCGATGTGATATACCAACACGAATTTTACCATTGATCATAGCTAATTTTCCTCTTTGTTTTACGAAAATTTCATTCATCGCCTATCATATTTAATCCTAAAATCCAAGTTTTACATCTATATTCTAATATTTTATCAGTTATCAGAGATTTCATGATCCACCGTACCCATAATATTATCACACTAATATAATAAAAACATGTTATTGGTAAATTACAGTAAAATTATTCATAATCCTTCAAATAAAATATCGCACCTTATTTTTTATTTTAGTTTTTTTAAGAATAAAAAAAGAGAAGATTTTTTTATATTTTTTTAAGAAATTATATTTCTACCCAAGATTTCAGCCTTGCAAGCTTTACTTACAAGCTTTATTTGCAAGCTTTACTTTACTTGCAAGCTTTTAAAAGAGAACATAGAAGAGTGTTTCATTAACGAGTAAAAGATTATGTATTTAAGTATATGTAAAAAGCGCATGAATAATTTGAGATATCGCAATGGGATACTTTGAACCATTTATTTACCTAATTGTTAATCCTTGAATTTACAAGTAAAGTGAATAAGCCTGGGGTTGAAGAAAGCAAGTACCAATCAAAGAAGAGTTGCAACTTGTTAAAAATATTCTTTGTCGCATATTGTACATGTTAACAGTTTTACGACAAAACTCCACCTCTTCGTGGTAATGAGTGGTACAAATGAAGTGATGAAGTTGGCATACGGTAGATATCTGTTCGCTCATATAAGATAAATGACGTAGCAGGAAGAATGAACTTTGTATTATTAATAATTTTTAATTTTAACCAAAATTTCAAATAAAGAAAGGTTCGAAAGAAATTTTAAACAATAAAAAATGATTATTATATTAGCTATCAAAGAAATCTTTTAATTGAAATAATTTTTATTAGCTCTTTTATTAATTATTAATTATCAGATCTAATTATCTTTCTCTCTCCTCAAATTCAACGAACTTACTTTTACCTTATGATTTAATAATGAGAATTGAATGTCATTGATAATTCTATTCATGTTTAGCTGATACTGGAAAAATTATTAGTTAAAAATCGTATTTCAGAATTGAATTTCATTTTTTTTTCAAATTTGATAATCGAAAAAAAATTATCTGATCAATCTGTTAAATCGCTATTTTCGTAGTACAACCAAGTTTTATTGTTTCATTTCTTATCAGTATCCAAGTATAAAATAGTATAAAAATAGAATTACAAACTTTTTCGTGATATGAAAATAAAATGATATATGTTGATCTTTGGATTGTATAACAAAGGTAAAAGAGTTTGACACGATTGTCTATGACAAATAACGGAACGTTTCCTTTGTAGGTATAAATGTTATTTTCTCCTTTTGTAATTTATGACAGAAATACCACACGAACTTCTCATAGTCCTCCAAAGAGCGGCAATATGTTTTTTACACAGTAATGCAACAGATTATCAAAAAGAAAAGGTGCGCAACTGTCTATGAACGACCGATGACAGCTTAGTACCGACGAAAAAATTTTTATTGATTCTCTTTTACCATTTATTTGAAGTGATAAAGGTAATATTGAACTAATTGGCACTAATATTTTGTAACTTATAAATAAAATTAATTGATTAAAAAAGTTCGACATTTCTTCTAAATAATCTTTGTTTTGCTTTTTTCTTCTCTTCTTAAATTTCATTTTTTAATTTTTATCAGTTTTAAAATCAATTCATTCTTTCTTTTCGTGTAAATACAGAAGTTGTCAAAACTGAAATTGACCAAAAATTAAATCAAAATTCAATATCAAAGAAAAAAAGAATCTTACAAATAATTCTCCGAGAAAAGGTATATATTTCTAAATTTCTTTCATTGTAATGAAATGAGAATAATAATTATTTGGTCAAATGAAATTTATTGCTAATTAAATCAGTGCTAATTAAATAAATGGGCTGAAAAATTAAATAAATGGAAAAATAGTTGCTAATTAAATAAATGGGCTGAAAAATGAAGACGAAGTTCAATTTCCTTAAGAACATCTTATTTGATATTTTTTGGTGAGTGATAAATGTTTATAAAATCTTCTTCGATCAAAGTATCAAAGTTCAAAATCAACGGTTTTGAAATGTTTATTTATGAGATACCGAATCACAATAAAAGATGCTATATTCTTATTTCATATATGACTTTTATGACGAATTCTATTCAGGAATGGAATTCTGGTGCAGTTCCCGACAATCCATGGAATGAAATAGCTTATATGCTTCATCATTGGCAACAACAGCATCTTCATCTCATTTTCTGGTTCATTAGTGAATTAGTTTAATGCGAAAAGAAGACATTTCAATTTGTTTATCCATCCGTTACAATAAATAATGTTTGGTCGCTAAAAGTCCTCATTTCTGCTTTCTCTTCAAAATATTTTATCATCACGCGACACTTATTATCACAGTCGGTGGCCTCTCTTTACTGTCCATTAACGCTCGTTACCAAAAGTTTATTACCGTATACAAATGTTTGACATATGGAACATATTGCAAGTTCTTAAAAATTTTTTATCCACAAAGGTAATTATTTGATGATTGGGACAATCAGATAAGCTGGCGCCTATCAATCTGCTCTTTCTGAGTTAATTTATGGATCTGGTCATTATTTACCGGTGCGATCGACGGTGTGATAACAGGAGAGAAGCTTTAAAATTTCTTTCTAACACATTATTTCTCATCATTCTCACTTGTTGATATCTAAATAACAAATAAAGTGATATTATTGAGTATTAAATATTAAAGAACGTGTGAAGCATCTTTATGCTACATGAAATCTATAAGAAACTGAAAATATTTAAGTTAGAAATTGTATTGTTTCATTTGCAACATGATCAAATAGTAATTAATTAATTTATTAAAGCACGAAAATTATGAAACATAAAATGATTACTAATAAAAGGCGATAAAATTGATAATCAAAGTAGTTGGAATGAATTTTATTCTGTAATACGAGAAACAACAGAAGTAATCATAAAATAAATTGAATAGAGAATATGAACTTACATGGTATGATAATAACATTATTATTTACTCTTTTTCATAAAAAAACTTTTTTACAACAGAAAAGTACTAATGACATTAATTTCCGTTTTATTTCACAACAATCCAAAATTTATAAATTTTTGATTGTGACAGATTTTTAAAAATCTCATTCTTATAATTTCAAAATCATTTTCATCTTTACGAGCGCAATGTATGGTCAGTTAATTTTACCCAAAGAGTAATAATGGAATGTCGTTGATAGATAAGTTACGACGAATTTGTCAATTTGTCAATTATACTAATAAACATTCTAGTAGTAGTTGAATTTTTGTTTCGAAATATATACTAATCATTCTTTTTAGTTGACCACTTTTTCTTCCGATACCTTCAAATAAATTCTCAAAATTTAAATTCAGACTTTTTTCTTGTAATGTTTTTCTCAAAATTTTAAAATGAAAAAATTTCAGCTCTCTTTCTTATTGCTATTATTTGTATGATACAAAAGACAGAGTGTATAATTTCACACGAAAATTTGAATTTGTTACATGATGAAGAGGTTTGCAAAATATAGTGGAAACTTTAATAATTGTATTGTTATGAAAATATTATCAACATTTAATTATCATTACTACTATAGTGTCACGGAAGATTTCAATCGTTACACTCCTTTAAGAGACACATATGTCTATATCAACATTTATGCCTTACATTTTTATCGTTGTTTGAAGACAAACCATCCAGAGTAATCGAATAGTCCTAGTGATTATGGGAGTAGTCTTGAATTATCAAAAACGTATATTTCCACACAAATGTCGGTAATCATACTAAATAAATCCTCATTCAAGTTATTTAAATTTTTTTCGAAATTTCAAAACTTTAAGTTATTGTAATGAAATTGATTTGAAAAAAGACAGGTAATAAGGAAATAAAATGAAGTCACTGAGAAATTAATGTTATTTAAAGCATTAATCACTTAGTAGTATGAGATTTTCATTACAGTATCGACAGTTCTGTCGAGAATCATCTTTTCAAAGAGGAGATCTTTATAAAAGTGTACAAATTAGCAAAGCAGCACGAAATGAATTTATTCTGATACAGGCAGCAAAAATAAAAACTGATTGCAAGCAAGTTATTCCTGCCAAGAAGTTGGAAAATTTTCACGTGCTATTACGTGTACTCATGTCTTCTTTTCAAATTGTCAGCAGAATCATACACTGTATCACTATACGTAAATATACAATATATATATGAGGGAAAAAGTAGACTATTACTTGCAGCTTTAAACTCACCGCCGTCTCAAATTCAAATGAAAAAATTGTTGTCTACAACATTTTCCCCACTGATCATCTCAATCAAAACGTCATCCTTTTGGTCAGTTAGCTACATACTTTCTCACAAGCATAAACTATTTGTTATATAGTAACCCAGTAGAGACCACTAAGTTTTGGTTGTCATTCTTGCACCAAATCTGGAAGCAGGTTCATCTCTCCTAGGCAACCAACATTTTTAGCAATAAAATTTGCTGCATAAAAAGTCATCTTTAGTTGCAAATCGACTAAGATTAAATCTGATTGATGAATGCTCGAGGTTATGGTTATAGTATTGCTCAACGATCATAATCCTCACATTCAAACATAAATTATTTGCTAATATTTAAACACTAAGAAGATATAAAAACCAGAGTTCGAAATGCTAGTTTATTTTAAAACAGTTAGGAACACTACTATGACTGGTTCACCTTGTCATTTAACATCTCGTAATGCAGGTAGCGTGCAGTAAATTACTACGCCAAGCAAATTATTTCCGTGTTTGGTATCATGCTGGTGGAATTCTGCGAACGAAACCGCACGACAAATCGGAAGGTTTGAAATATGTACAAATCGAACCGGAACCTAAATGTGCAGCAAAAGAGAAAACAGAAACGAATAAAAGTGCAGCATTTGTGCATTTCACTATGTTACGAATGCGATTACCTGTAAGGTTTCAACAATCAATTTAAAATGTTAGTTAAAAACTCTAAAAGAATTTTTGAAAGTTAGATGAAACGGCAACACACTTTCTCTATGATAAGAAAAATGGATTTGTCTCAAGGAAATGATACAAATCCTTTCCGGATTAATGATCGAAGCGATGCAACGTTAATCAGACATGACTAAAAAAATTGTCCAAAAATGACCCCTATTCTGGACTGTCTACATGAGAATCTAATAGCATTGAATGTATTGGAATAAACATGTCAACAATTAAGAATAAATGAACTCAGATTACCAATAACACTGAAGAGATATGGGAAAGGATCGGTAATGCCACTGACATGCAACAACCAAAATTCCGATCATACGGTAAGTAACCCAATCATCACTTCTTTATAAAGTATGAAAAAAATGAGCCAAAAATTGAGCAGACGAATAAATGAAATGAAGGATGTGACAAAATTCGATGAATTTATTTCTAGAAATGCTAAGCAAACATCAAAAAAGCATCTTCGTACCGGATTCATTCATTGGTAAACATTCATCAATCGTTACATCATCGTATTACCTTCATTGCTTATTGTTATTTCATTTATTTATTACTGTATATTCATTTCTATTTTAATGAAACGTTTTTCTAAAGTTATTATGAAGACGTATGTAAATTATTGCAATTAATAAATAAATAATTTGCATATCATAATATGTCGCAAACTGAACCGCAATCCTATATTTAATCCACTGAATCCCCGATGTTTTATTTTCATTGGGAAGTGTAAGTCTATATCTTTGAAATTCATCACTTCTTACTCTTTAATCATTTCCTTATCATCAATAAAAAATCATTCCCTTATCACTAATAACATAATTATTTTCAACTTCCATCAACCTCTTCAAATACATTAATTTTCCTCCAATCTTTAATCTTCTACAAACTCCTCTATATACTCAGCATTCTCAATTTATATCAAGATACTTTCTTCTCCTGTTAATAATATTACTTCTTCCATCGCTATCTACTGCTCTCTATGTGATATGTGGTAGCATAGCGTTACTTCTCAGTAGTTCAGAATTATTGAAGGTTTGGAGGCTAGTAGCCAAAAGTTCTCTTTATACAATTTTCATGTTTCTTTTCTTTTAAAATACCCTCTCACATTTACGCACTTTTTCGTCCTCGTATTATTAGCAATGTAATAATACAAAATTGAGTTTAAATTCCATGTTAAATTTATATTGAAGTAAAGGAGAGGAAGGGAAGGAAGGAGAGAGTGTTTACGTTTCATATTCACGTATATTCATGTCTCTTAAAATAATAATTCTTCTTTTAGTGGCTGTCGTCACGGAACTGTTTTGACAATGGAAGCGGATTTAAAGGAGCTTTTGGGCACTTCATCATCTGTTGGGTAAAATTTCTTTTTTCGTCACAGTATAATTAAAGTATTTTCTGTTGTTTTAATATAAATGTAAATTGAAAAGTTAATCTTTCGTGAAATGTTTAGATAATCCAAAAGAGAGACGCTTTTATTTTGTTATTCAGTTTCACATTAATATGTTGAATTCAATCCTTTCGCCTTGAGTACTCTCCAAACCGACGTTAACCGATTGTCATCTTTTTTAGTGTCACTATTGTAAAAGTCTTTTCATTTTTCCATTTGTGCGTCCAAGTATGCGAGGATAGAAAGGATTATTTTTTCAGAGGTACATGTTTTTAAGAAATCATTCATTTAGACGAAATGCCTCTACGGGGACATTGCGTAACGAAGATTTTCGCCAACTTTTGACAAAGAAGGTAGCTCAGACATCTGCAAGCGCAAACGGAGGACCACAGACACAGCCCACGCATTCATTCAGTCATCGACAAGCCGTTGAGTAAGTTATTTTGTTAATTTACATCTTCCCTTTAAAATGCCACTCAGTCAGAGTGAAAAAGTCAGAACATATCAGATTAAAGGAAGAGAAAAAAAAGTAATGGCTTCTTGCTATTTAATGTCTTGATCCCTTGCATTCCTTCATAAAACGATAATAAAGGATTATTTTGAATGAGTAAAATTTGTAATTGCCGAAAATTATATGAAGAACATATTTTATTTACAGTTCCAAAAGAAGCCACGGTAGTGGCGCCAAGACCAAGAAACAAAGGGAGCGAAATAGTGTAGATGATGAAGACGACATATTTGGTTCGTGTAAACATATTACTTCTGGTGATTGAAGAGATGTGAATCATCTCTTAGCATGAAGTAGAGGAACGAAAAAGTAAAATTGACTAATCCTAATTCAAATCGTTTATCCATGTGCGGGATAATCCAGTTGCTGCATATAAGCAAAAGAAAAATAATGTTACAGGGCCATCAAATTTGAATGAAATTTTAAAAAATTATCGTGATCGAGCAGAAGAAAGACGAAAGGGAATTGGAAAAGATGACAATATTGACGATCTACATGCAAATAATGCTTACCGAGCAGTACCTAGTGATGTACGCGCAACAGCTGATGCTGCACAACGTAGGAAACAGGCAATACAGGTATGCCGCTACCTAAATTTGCTTACAAGCTTCTAGGAAGTTTAGAAAATTTTTTGTAAGGATCATCATCTCTATTATTGATATAAGAAAATTCAATCTGATTAGACTTGTAAGATGACAAATCAGGTCGTAATGGTTATAAGGAATAAATCTACAGGAAAGTAAATATCTTGGTGGTGATATGGAGCATACTCATTTAGTGAAAGGTTTGGACTATTCATTGCTGCACAAAGTTCGTTCTGAAATAGCTATGAGGGAACAGAAAAATGACGAAGCGTTGGAATCACAATATAATGTAAGTTATAACCGTTTATTGAAAGATTCTTGAACATATATATTTGTTATCTTTTTCATGCATAAATTTTTTCGCAAGTAAAATTTTTTTTAAGTTTTTTTGTCACTAAAAACTTGTCTTCCTATTTTTTTACTTTACTCTTATTTTACTTTTTAAAGATCTGCTTTGAAAAATAGGACGATTTTACTGAGCTTTCCATGTTTCTAGAAAGACAGCCAGAAAGGTGAACCACAATCAGACAATCGGATGGTTCGAAACATTCATCGAGCGGTGTTTCAGAATGAACTTCCTGCATGTAATGAATTGTTTAGGTAAGACTGCTGCTATGATATATTATTCATAATTTTAATCTCTTTTCACGAATTTTTTAAATCTTATAATTGCTAGTGGAAGTTTAGGAAAGGTCGCATGGCTTATGTGGTAGATTTGGAGGAGGAAGATAATGATTTACCTACTACACTGCTTCGTTCCGTTCACGATTGTCCAGCAACGGAAAGTACCCATGATATCAACACCAGTAATATGCTTATTCAGGTAATTCAATTCCGTTTTGGTAGGAGCTATTATATTTACTTAACCAAATCTCGTTTCGGCTACCTCCTATAATTTTCAGAAACTTACACAAGTTCTATCATATTTGCGCACCGATACGCAGAAGAAAAAGAAGAAAGTCGAAGGTACAAACGACGAGCACGCTAAGATGGCGTCACAACCAATATTTGACGATCAACCTGATTTTACTACTTCCCGGAATCATCGTGATCGAGAACGACGAGATCGGGATCGAAAACGACTGAAACCTTCTTCGTAAGTGTTGAAATACCTTCATACCTTACTTTTCAACTACTAACTACATAGATGTTGGTTATCAGTCTGCATTCAAATATGACATGATTTCTTTTGCAATAAGGTGCTCTTCCGCTTTTTTTAGACAGAATATTATTATTAAATCAAGTTGATGTTCTTTCCTTGTAAGAAGTTTTTAATACAGCAAAATTTGCTTCTTGTCAATTTTATTGATATGCTGGAGCAATTTATCCTCATAACACTATTTTTTGGAAATGAAGTCACCAGTTACTTGTTACGTCTATTTGAATCCATGTGAAAAATTGAATGATAAGTTTAGATTTTAATCCGAAGAGTTAAGTTTGTCATTATAAGTATACATCTATTTCAAAGTTTTAAATCTAGATACTTCGACGATCGTGAACCGGATCGTGACAGAGATAGGAATCGTGATCGCGACAGAAATCGTGATTACGAAAGAGGAAGAGACCGGGATCGAGATCGGGACCGTCGTGGGCGAGACGACGAAAGACGCGGCGAACGTCGGGAAGTAGTAAAATTGGTCGAGAATGAGGTACCATCAGAAAAGAAGAAAAAGGTGCCTATGGAAACAGAAGGTTATGCGGAATGCTATCCGGGTGGTATGTATGAAGCTGCCGGAGAGAGCGATGACGAAGCTGATTACTCAAAAATGGACATGGTTTGTAAAAATGAAGCGTTTACATTTTATACTCTTAAAAAAGATACCGTTGAACAATCTTCCGTTCGTTCATTGATTAACCAGATACTCTTATCTGTGGTCATATGCGGATGTTTAGAATTTTATGTATAAGACAATTGAATGGAACGACATTAACTCTTGCTTTTAGAATTGAAATTTAAAAGAAGCAAATTTCAGGGAAATAGACGGGGTCCAGTGAAACGTTGGGATTTTGAAGATCATGAGGACTATGAAAAGTATATGGAATCGAAAGAAGCTATGCCGAAGTAGGACCATCATAAGTTAAATTAGTTCTGGTGGTGTAGAAGACTGAGATCATTTGGAAATTCTGAATGAAAAAAAAAAAAAAAAACAACTATTAATATCCAAAATATCTGCATTGAGTTAAAAACAGTTTCTTTGGTGTAGTCATTCGTAAGTTCTTAGATCTTTAATCAAATCTCACTATGCTCATTGTAATTGTTATTTATATGGGATACATCAGTCCTATTCAGGAGCTTATTGAAAGGTCCTAATTTGATATTTTTATACGTTTGTAGAGCGGCATACCAATTCGGAGTGAAAACAAATGATGGGCGGAAAACAAGGAAGAGTGCTCCAGATCGAGAAAAACATAAATTGGATCGTGAATTCTCTGAAATAACTAAAATACTTGAAAAGCGAAAAATAGAAAGCCATAGATCGTAAGATTTTACAGCAAATTCTGTGTAAGAAACAAAGTGTTGGTTATTTCTCTATTATCAAAATTTATTTCTAAGAAGGAGGTTGAGAATGGTGGAGAGAGGTATTCTGAGATTAGTCAAGTGTACGAACCAGAACAAACTCTGACTACTTATTCTCCGATAGTTTTTAGATTTTGGGATTTTAAATCTTGAACCATTTTATAAAAAAATCAGAACTTAGCTAATTTTAAAATTTTCAGCGATATCGCCAAGCGAATTAAATACTGATATTGATGCTGCTAGCAGAACACATTTCATGAAAGGATATGAAGTTTGTTCATGTTGGAATAATGATGTACTTTTATGTCTTTTCGTTTATTGTCAATAAAAATATTTGCTACCGCTCATGAAAGATCGCAAGTGGTACTTTTAGTTACGCTGTAGGGTTTTATAATTGTCATATTCACAACTGACTGGTCCACATTATTACGCCTTTTCTGGGTGTTTTTGGGGAATTTCAATTATGCAAAGAAAAGCGAGTTCTTTTGGACAGTAACTTTATCAGATTGGTTCTTTTCACCATATTCTTTCTTACTGTCTGCATTTCTTCCAACTTGTTTTTACAGAAATGTTGTGTTATCTAAAAATTTCGCAAGAAATGTATTGACAGTAGTGGAAATGGAGATAGGAGTTTAGACCAAAAAGCTTGGAAACATGGAAGGACACGCCACGGTTTATTAATTGTCGAAATGCAAAAGTACATGTGACCGCTGAACAGAAAATAGAGCAAATCGTTCTTTAATGTATCAAAGAAACAACAAGATCAGATCATTTTTATTTCAGTACCCGTATTAATAGTGTTTTACAGTTTGCCTTTCTTGATTTGAAAAAAATATGTGAACAACAAGAGGTACGGTGTGTTTGGAAAAGAAACTATACAAATAAATCAAAAAAGAATGCATGAATAAAAAGCATCTTTTATTAACCATTTTTACTTGCTCATTACAATGAGCCAACACTGCAATAAAATAATAAAATAGGAGTATACAGGAATCGCAATAATTAAAAGAAATGTCACGACGACTGAGATTTCCTTATACCCGTAAACATGTGTAAGAATCGTCCATTATACCACATGAATCTGTTAGCTATTATTTCCAAGGAAATACATGGTGATATTGCTCGGTATACTTTCCAAGTGCATATAAAACTTCGAAAAACTAAGTTTTCACTTTTTAAGTGCATGTGTTAACAGTTAAACTGTGATATAATCCCATTTAAAAGTAACATATGATCAAAAATTTAATGAAATCCCAAACTTTGTTTAGTAGAATGGGCCGGAACGAGACAAGAAACAATAGTTTATATGATAATAATATGCTTCTGAACCACAACAGTAATCGGAAATGGACAGTTTCTTAGAACAATACAAACGATTAAGTTTCATGACTATGGTCAATGCCAAGGAATCAGTGCATCACTTTTGGAATTACTAAACAAGTCTTCTATGAAACATACCAACAATTTTAGGGATGCAAAACAATACATACATCAATTCCCTTCGGATCATATTTCAAATTAATCAAGAAGATTCAAGTAATGTCCTCGATTCCAACAGAAATTGTAAGAGACTTAATGGATTACTCAAAGTTAAAAGCAAAATGTAACCTATAACAACATGAAATCCACTGATACAACGTATAGTTAACAATGAATCATCAAAAATAAGTACCCCTTCCAAATTAAATCAAAAGTGAAAACCGAACCGACATCTGATAAACACAGACTTTAATTTATCATGTCGAGAATAAATATTTAATAAATTGACAAAGCGGAATGTGAGCTTGATGAAAATTAAGCCTTCGAAATTGCAAGCGTTAAAGTGGAAACTGTGAGCTAGGCTTCCAAAATTTGTGATGACTAAAGTTAAATTTCCGCTGTAAAAAAATATAGCAAAGAAATAGTAAAAGTAAAAAAATTCATTGTTCAACAACTACTGTCGGTGGCAAGTAAGCATTTAACAAATTCGCAGAATGGAGATTTTAAGTTTCACCGAAATTTGTGAGAACTAAAGTCAAAGATCAACATGAGTCCGGAACAGAAAAAGAAAAATAGGCAACAAAATATTAAAATACATAAAGTCATTCTTGTTCACCATTGTAAACAGCTAAAAAATGGTTGAGATGGTGAAGTAGCTTTGATGTGCTTCCCAGAAATCAAAATCATATTTTTTCAAGAACATCAAAATTAGAAAAATAGAAACAGTTACTCTTTAGTGTGAAAAACACGAATAACATGAATACAAAATGCAGCAGTGACATTAAGAACAAAAACTGCAAGGATTATAATACTTACTTTATCAACTACTAATATATTATTACAATTGCTATCCCTTTCATCAAGCACATTTGAAAAAACAATGGATATGGAGTCTAATTCGATTATCTTAACTTAAACCAGTTTCATCTAAATACTTCCTTATGTAGCTATCTAAGTCTACAGATTTAATAATAATACTAAGAATTTAAGAGCTAACGCTCGAAGTGAATAGCTACCAAGCAACTTTTTTTGCTATTTCAAGAAAATTTCATCAAATCTCACCAACAGCAACGGAGGCATTCATCATGGAAGTTCCGTCAAATTAGCGAACAGTTTCTGCAGCGTTACAGCAAGTTGTACACCATGGATTACTCGACTAAAAGTGGACTGATGTAATCAATGAATGGACACTTGATGTTTCACCAATTACTTGTTTTTACTAATTTACAATAGCAAAACAACATCTTTACAATAATATAGCGACAGGAATAATTCTCCCAAAAATCCTAGTGAGGGAATGCTATATGACAGACATGAACTTCAATGCTGATCCAAATACTTTTATCTGATGCTTCTTCCAGTATCTTTCCATCTGATCCATATGCTTTGATTTACAATGAATTCTTAAATTTCCAATCACAATCCAGTCAAGAAGAAGTAACTAAGCTAAAATATTGAAACACAAAACTAATAAACGTAAAAAGTTATAAAAGTTATAAAATGTGATAAAACATGGACAAACTTGTGATAATGAAACATAAATTTCTTCGCGCTCTCATGTTCCTCAAAAATAAGCGACACCGTATTCTCCGAAGATCGCCACACTTTCTAAACAGAACAACGGTTACTTTTCTGCACTTTGCTAAACATTCTTTCAAGAAAAGAGATCGCACTCATTCATCATATAGGAAAAACTTTTTATTGGACCGGTAAACAGTTAACCCTGATTAAATTTTTATAAAGCAATAGTCTATTTATTAGGATAAAGCACACTCCTGAGAAGAGGATTCATAAAAGAACTTTTGATACCTTAGTGCGCCCAACAGTCTCTGCAATGATCTTTATTTTGTCCACATTGATTGGAGCCTGATTCAATGAGTTTACAACAACAGCCAAATAAGCCTTTTTCTTCCGTGATCGTTCCGGATTCTGTTCGTTTTCTCGTTTGGCACGACGAATTGATGTGACTGCAGCTGTTGCAGCAGCAGAAGCTCCTGCTGCTGTTTGTTCTATATTGGGTACATTTCCTGTTGTTGCCGGTTCTATCTTTTGTATGATACTACTATTAGTATCTATAGCCTTTTCCGCACTAACTAATGCTTCCAGTCGACCACTATTGACGATTTCTCGTGGAACTTCACTGCTTGTGCCAGTCGAAGGCTCCTTTCTGCCGTTTCGAATTCCACTACTTTTTCGTGTCTTAGTATCAAATTTCCGTCTACTGGAATGCTCTTCATCCATTCTTCGACTGCGCTGATTTCGTCGTTCACTAAAATTACCGGTACGATCCAATTGTCGAACAGATTTCTGATCGGATATAGAAATTGGTCCTCCAAGACGTTGAACGGTTTGAATGCGTCGTTCTTCTTTTTTTCGTAAAATCACTTCCCGCATTTTCTTCTGCTCCTCCAGCTTTGTCAAATATTCACTATCTAAACCAATCGCTTTCGCACACTCAATAGTCTTTTCCTGAAGCAATTAAAACTTCAAATATAAGCTGTCAAAAATGTTGGAAACAATTTCAGATGTACCCTATGACTGACCTGCTTCGCTACATCATTTGCACGACTTCTAGTACGATCAGAATGATATGCTGATTCTCTGCGACCATCACCAGACTGCCTCAAATGGTCTCCGGGACGTCGACGTATCACTTCATTCCTGAAAACATCAATAAAACTACTAAACAAAAAAAACAGCTCAATACAAAAAATACCCATGATCCTTTTTTAAGGCCTACCTAAAAAAAAAAAAAAAAAACCATCAAAAAATACCCTTCAAAAAATACCCATGATCATATTTTTTGTACCGCAGAAGCCTAACAAATCTAAATTCGGCAATAAGCTCCTGAATATTATTCTGCACATTGAAGTTTAAAGAAGATCTGAATGTTATCAAATGGGAAATGTGTGGAATACATTAGAATCTCAACCTTGAACGATAATTAGGCGGACGACGTGAAGATGAACGGTGACTGTGTGAATGAACTCGGCGGTAAGGTGAACGTGATGAGGAACGCGAAGAGATGGTAGAACTTGAGGAATGCGATGAATACGAACGCGATCTAGAGTTAAATTTCATAAAATCAACCAATTGATCACATATCAGTAACTCGGCCTATTTTTACATTGTGTTTTGCACTTTAAAATAATTAAAGAACTTTTCACATGCAGAATTTCGCCCAACTTATCGCAACAATGAGCCAGATTTTGAAATTACTTATTAAATAAATTTCGAAGATTTGATTTAATCAAATCATACATATGAATATTACCTTCTCAGCCAGCCTTATGAAAATATATACTCCTCACCAAAATAACTTTTGAAAGGATCCATAAAATGAACCTTGAACGTGAAGAAGAAGAAGAACGTGGTGAACGTGAGAAGCGAGATCTGCTACGAGCTGTTGTACGACGCAAAAAGCCTTCCACCATTTGATCCCACTGTCCAACGGATGGGATCAAGCCATGAGATTCTGCCACAAATTGATTAGGATAAACAGATGGAGGTGGTGTTGAATAATTCGGAAGTGGCACTATTTGCGGTGGTGGGCGCGAAAAATCCGCGGATGATGATGGAACAATCTGAAACGTGAACATCTGCCAAAAGGGAGACGAAAATAACGGATGTCAAATGTAATGAAGGGAAAACTAAGCATTTTAAACACATTAAAGGATTAGGATTTTCAATCAAAGTAAAACATTTCAAATCTATAATATTTGTTCGAGGCATTCAAAAGATCACTGATGAAGCATATTTTCGTACTTTAATAATATTTGGATAGTTTGCAATGATGTGGGAGTTATTTTTTACGGGAAGTTTATTTTCGAAAAAACTATGAAACATTACATATTAACTTAATACAATTGGTTAGAAATACCCACAGTTTCAATCAGTGGGGCAAATGTCAATTTTTAACATCTCCAGTCTCCACAAAGATCATGCACTGAAGAGCACTCTTAATGCATGTTCATAAAGATATCACGCGACGTTATAACTGCTTGCTTTATATGTATTAGAAAGTCATTTTTCGTCAATATTTTCAGAGATTTAAAACTTCATATTCTTCCCGACATTTTGCTTTAAAAATGTTAATAGCATAGTAATACACAAAACTTACAGGAAAAGGAACAGAATGTGACACTTGTGGTAATATTGCGACGCTATTCGGTAGTGGAAGAGTTGCCGGATGTCGTAAGCCCGGTACATTAGGAACTCTGACTGCCGTTTCCCATGGCAGTGGCACTGCAATGGTTCGAAGCAAATGAAGTTTAGGAAAGCTAATGAGTAATGATTATAGAATCTAAGACTCATACAAAAATTGTAGCAGTCTAAAATCACTTTTCAGCAACATTTGATAAGATCTGCAACTTTACAATTATATAAGTTTTGTTTCACTACAACAACTGTTTTCTAATAAATATTCATTAACTGCAGTAAGGGTAAAACATGAAGCAAGAACTTAAAAAATTCGAGGTGCTTTCAAAAATTTCAACTCTTATAAAAACAGACAGTGAACTGTTAAATCGAATGGTATCCTTACAGGTGTGTGATGCTGATCCTTGTGGTCTGATAACGCCCCTGTGATGAGGATTGATGAAAACTTTCGGTGCACGAGTTGTGCCTTTTATTGTATTGTTCATCGATTGTACTTGAGATGCTGGAGATGAGATTTCCTCCAAATTTATCGGTTCAACCTTTAAAATTGTACAACATTATATTCCTACTGCAACATTCGAACAAATTTCAACTGAGAATTCTTATGTAATTCTAAGAATTTTGTGCATTTTATTCCACTCATTTTATTTCTAAAAATGTTTAGCAACAGAAAGAGCATTTCCAATGAGGAAATGTTTCTACTACTAATACATTTTTTTCCAATACAGAAAAAATTATTATCATAAGATTATAAGGATGAAAAATATGTCACCGATTTGCCGGCTGAAATATTGTTTGTTGGGGCACTCCGATTTTGATCTTCCCTTTTAGCCGATGCTTCATTCAGTAATGAACGCCTCTGCATTAGTGCCTGAAACAACAGAAGCTAGCGCTATCATAAGGTTATTGCTTCTTCCTGCTGCTTAGATGTTATAACGCTATTTCTCTTTAACTAAACCCAAAATCGACAAAGTACTAGACATACCCGCTCAGAAGTAAACTTAGATGAACGTGGCGCTTTCTCGGCTTCCAAATCTTCGTCATAATCAAGTTCTTCGGTTTCTTCATGATGTTCCACAATTTCGTCTTTTATGCTTCCTTCCTCCTGAATATCGTCATCACCCAAAATTGCCGATTCATCCAGTTCACTTAGGTTACTAACGTCCTAAAAATAGCAAAGCTGAATCAGAGAATTATTTTCAATAAATTCCAAACTGTAAAATTGAAAAGGTTGGTCTGACATCACACTGCAATGTATACAGACTTACAAAAATGTTGATGAATACTCGAATAACAGGCATATCAGGTTAATCCAGCATGGAGCATCTATAGTTTTGGCAGTATTGACATCCTTGATAACCAAAATGAAAAAGCATTTTGTATAATGTGTTGAACAATACCAAAACTTACAAATGTGCTCGGTGTTTCCAGCAGTAATTCTTCCTCATCCATATTCTGCGTTCTCAAGAAAATCTGATTGAAGCAAACGTTGTACAGTGTGACAAAAATTATATCATTTAAAGATACTCATAAAAATGCTTTATTAGTAAGCAGGAAAAGTTGAAAAAGGTAAAGAGAGAGTGATTGAAAAGGTAATATGATGACTTCCGCTTATGTATTCCCTAGAGAAAAAAGAGAGTAAAAGGCAAGAAGAATAAGGTATGTACTGAAACATAAATGGGCATTCTTCAACGGAATCTTTTTAATCTAAGAATTGTATTGTACTACGTCAATCAACGCCATCAAATGGAATCTAACTTTGAAAATGGTAGACTATGAAAAAAAATGCACTAGAAAAAAATCTAAATGGACTCTGCGCTACAATTAATGCTGATTATTTTGGAATAAACATTTTCCAGAGAATTTACTTTCATGAAGCATCCAATAAGTGTAAGGGAAAAGTATACATATATGGCTTCTATATGGTCACTTGCTCTAATCTAAATAATGAAACGTAGACGGCGAAACAAAATTCGAATATACAACTTCAAATATAAAATCTAATCATCCGTCAAGCTTCAATGGACATAGAATTGCGCTCGACGAGAATTAATGTTAAAGTTTCATGAATCCTCAAATTGAATCGGTATGAAAATAGCGATCCCAGCGAACTTTTGTATTAAGGTGGGAACTACTCTTAAAGTTGAGGGATTTTAGTTCAGTGATTTAGGGAGGTACTTTTTAAGTAATATAACATACTTGCGGGTAATTCATGTAATGTCACCTTTGATATATGCGAGGAAATTCACTAACATTCAGTGTTAAATTATAATAAGAGCATTCAGCGATCAATTATTTCGCCTGACAAGTCATTATCCTGGACAATAGAATACTTAGGAAAGGAATATGATCAAGATTAGAAAAATATATGGATGATATGTGCGGCATTATTCTTGCTGATATTTCAATGATCTTACTGCTAATTAAGAACAGTGAAATCGAAGCGAGAACTTTAATTTTTCTTGTGTAACTGTTCTGTTCTTTTAACCATTACTTCATTTTAGCAATAAAAAGTGACATCTGAAGGGAACTTTTAATCCACTAAATATATCATTTCCTAAAAGAAATTATTTAAGTGATTCTGTTTTTCATATTTTCGTGATTAATCAATAGTTGTAAATAATATTAAGGAGTAATTAACTTAATCTAAAACTTTCAATTATCATCCATGAACATCCATGAAGCAAAATGATTTATTGAAATATTGAAATTCGTCTTGAAATTATATTAGTATTTATCTTTAGAGTAGTTGTTTAAAAAAAATAATTAAACAATCATAAAGCGCATACTTATCTTTAGAGTAATTATAACAATAATTAATATAATAAGTTTAATTACTATTTGATGTTTAATTGTTTGAAATATATCAATTAGATCAAAAAATGGTTCATTATAATGTACAATTATATGTAAATCTTGCTTTTTATCAGTTCACTACCCGCTTGCAATGATAACCATTGCTAAGTTCTAATTTCAACAAACGTCCATCTCTTCTAATCAGTTACTCAATTAACAGTTCTGTGCTAATCAACAGGGCAAAAAACCATTCTGAATCACAAAAATTTTAAATTTTGGTTTAACATGGATGCAAAAAAAATTGAGAAGATTTAACTTTCAGATCTCATTATTATATATAAAAGATGGCATTGTCTAAATATTTTTCTTTTGCAAGTTAACAATCAACAAATAATTTGAGTAAGTGAAGAAATCTTTGTGAATTATTGATTGCTATCTTGTTAAATTTTTGTCTAAAATATCTGTACAGCATAAAGCACTCAGAGGACTATCTGAGAATTATAAATCTCTTGGAAACTCAACGAATGGAGAATCTCCACTATTTAGAATCCATCAAATAATCAATCAATCAATTAGTTTTGTTACACTATTTGAAGGTTACAGAAGGTCCCTGCAACAATTGCTGTAAAATTTATTGCTTTGAACAGTGATTGGTTGGAACATATTTGTGGAACAGGTTAATTCAGACTACTATAACATATTTTTAGCATAAAGCATCATAAATGCAATTAATCGAAGTTTGCTTCTAGAAGTCATAGAAAGTTAAATGGAAACTGGTAAAGTAACGATCGATCACAATGGTAGTTAATTATCATTCATCAATGCTTATTTGTTTAGAATAAGAACGAGTAGAAAGTATTCTATAATTTAAGTGCATATTTTTATAATATCATATTTGCATAGAATGTTAGGCAGATATTGCTTGCCTAGGAATGCACTTGATATAGAGATATGATCATTATGTTCAGTATCCCCTAGGAATGATCATGATCAAACGATATATTTTCGATCTCTTTCGTAAAATAACACTTACCAGCATTATGATATTAGAGACTGGAAACAGCGACGTCTAATATTTGTTATGAAATTGCAACACACATTATAACTATTGACTGATCCTTGTCCTCTTACTTTTTGCTCTTATTGCTTCCATATTGACCTCTTATCCTATTTTATCCAATCATAAATTTCCTTCTATTCAGCGACATTTATTTATAAGAATAGAAAGAATAAAATATTAAGTGATAAAATGGAAAGATGTTCTAAAAAGAAACGAATAGAAATGTTGATTCTTCATCCGCCAGATTTTCAAAGAGGATACTCAGTTGATTGTTTATCATTGTAAACAATGTATTTCCGTGAAATATGATCGATATCAATCGAATGAATATGCCAAAGAATCCGTTCAACTTAGTTAATAATAAAAGCGATTTTTGTTTATCTTTGATTTTTGCTTATCTTTTACAGAAAATACTAATATTTTAATGAATTATTAAAGAACTGAAGGAAAAAAACGCCGCAATCTAATTTAGAAAGGTTGAAACCAAATGACCTATAAGAAACCAAATAGTCATCGTATGAATGGTACCACATGATGGCATGCATA